ACATCCGATATAACTCGCCCCACAAGCGCAGTTGAATTGGTAGATACAATTGGAAGTGGCTAGTCTAGGTAATTCATCTTTCAGTCAAGGAATCACCATCAGTTGTGTAGAGAATAAGACGTGTAGTTTGCCAGCATTAAAAGTTCTTTGAACTGATTTTCTTAATTTCTTCGTAATTATCTCACTTGGTATATCACCCTTGAATTGCAGTCGTATATAAAGAGGCTTCTTGTTTACGGATAGTGAGTAATCCTTTTCCGCTTTCTTTGTCATGTGTTTCTTGATAAATTTGTCAGGATAGCTATTTACAATCAAGGTATCATATACAATGCTTAATTCGTCTTCTTGTTGTGAATTATTTTCCCGTGCTGGTGTTTTTCTGCTTGTTTATTCCCTGTTTTCCTGGTTTTTAAGGGGAGCAACCCACAAGGTCGCTTCTCTCTAAATTATAAATTGATGTAACAACCCCCCTTCTCAGGCGTGAGGCTAGAAACCCCACCCTGTAAACAAACCTGCTACAGAAACTTCAGCACGATGTATCTCCTCGAGACAAAAGAAAAAGTGTGTGTGGGGACATGGAATGTCCGTACTGTTAGGAAGAGGCAAAACATGCAATTATCAGGTCATCAGTCAAGTTATTATCGCGTTATTAACAAGTCGTTGACATGCAATTGTTCCTGCTTCTGATTGGACGCTTGCACAATTCAAACTCTCAACCGGATTGGTTGATTTCCAGTCTACCTTATTTTCTGTATGAATACAGTCAATTTTGTAATAATAAATGAACCTGGGTTTACCGTTGATTCTCTTCGTGTTCTGCTTTACCAGTTAAGTGGACACTGGTCAGTAGTTAAGCAGTGACCGCGTGAGAAAGAAACTAGCATCATAACACTTACCATGTACGAGATTGGCAAAGCTGCCCAGATCGCAAACGAAATGAAAAGATACAGCATTCAAGTACTGGGAATATGTGAAAGCAGATGGAACGGGAATGGACTCACCAAATTGTCAACAGATGAGTCAGTGATCTACTCCGGTCACCCAGAAGATAACCACTCGCACACCGAGGGCGTGGCTATCATGATGTCAACAACTGCAACGAAGGCCCTGATGCAATGGGAGGCGATCTCGCCCAGGATAATAACCGCCAGATTCAACTCCAAAGGAAGGAAAGTGTCAATTATACAATGTTATGCACCGAACAACAACTCAGACCTCGAAACGAAAGAAGAATTCTACAGTCAACTACAGGCAACAATGGACAATACTCCAGCTGATGACATTAAAATACTAATGGGAGACATGAACGCCAAACTGGGACCAGACAATACAGGAAGGGAACTCATCATGGGTAGAAAAGCTCTCGGAGAAATGAATGAAAACGGAGAACTCTTCGCCGACTTCTGCGCCTTCAATGAACTAGTGATTGGTGGCGGCGTACACAAACACAAGGATATCCACAAGGCTACATGGGTGTCACCAGATGAGCGAACCAAAAACCAAATTGACTTCATCTCACTCTCAAGGAAGTGGAGGCGCAGCCTACTGGACGCAAAAGTAACAAGAGGAGCAGACATTGGCTCAGACCATTATCTCGTACAAGGCACAATCCAAATCAAATTAAAAGCGTTCAGAGAATCAGGAGCTGCAGATAGACCAAAAGCCAATTTCAACACTCAAAAACTGAAGGACCAGGACACAAAGGACATCTTCACTGCAAGTATAAAAGACAAAGCCGAGACACAGATCAACACTGGCGAAGAGGTTAGCGTCGAAAAGCACTGGAACAACTTGAAGACTGTGTGGAGTCACACCTGCATGGAAGTTCTAGGCAGAAAGAAGAGACAGGACAAACAATGGCTCACTACGGACACTTGGAAACTAATAGAATAGAGAGGGATGGTGAAACAAAAGATTCTCCAGTTCACCGATGAGCAACAAAAACAGGATTTGAATGCAAGCTACGATACACCGAACAAAAGAGTAAACGAGAGTGCCAGGAAAGACAAAGATAATATTATGAAACCATGGCAAGTGAGGCAGAACAAGCTACAGTGCAGGCAAAGGAGACGTCGCAACACTCTATCTAACAACTAGGTACCTATCGAGCAAACGTTTGACACAAATCAAGCCGGTGAAAGATGACAATGGAAAGGCACTCACCAAAGAAGTGGAGCAAAGGAAACACTGGGCTGAACACTTCAAAAGACTCCTAAATCGACCACCACCGACAACGCGCCCAGCAATACCAACGACGGAGACAGAGCTACCAGTGAACACCAACCCCCCCCCCCGACGAAATCAGAAGTCCTGAAGGCAATCAAGATGCTAAAAGCTGGAAAAGCAGCAGGACCAGATGGAATACCAGCAGAAGCATTGAAAATGGACCCAGAGACAACAGCGGACTTGATGACGCCACTACTGGAGAAGGTGTGGAAAGAAGGCAAAGTACCCGAGGATTGGAAGAAAGGATACCTATTCAAACTACCAAAGAAGGGAGACCTAAGTCAATGCAAGAACTGGCGCGGAATTATGCTCCTGTCCATCCCAAGCAAAATACTAAGCCGCATCATCCTGGAGAGAATCAAACATGCCCTGGATGAAAAACTTCGACCGGAACAGGCTGGATTCAGGAGGAACAAGTCATGCATTGATCAGATCGCCACATTACGGATCATCATTGAACAAAGCCTGGAATGACAGTCACCTCTCTATCTCAACTTCATCGACTTTGAAAAGGCCTTTGACAGCGTCGATCGAGAGGTGATTTGGAAACTACTTCGCTACTACGGCGTGCCACCGACATTTAATACATCTCATCCAACAGCTGTACGACAATGCTGCATGCCAAGTAATCCACAATGGGAAACTTACGGAACCTTTCGAAGTGAGGACAGGAGTAAGAAAAGCTGGCTGCCTACTATCGCCAATGATTTTTTTGATTGCAGTAGACTGGATAATGCGACAAACAGTGGCCAATGAGGAAACAGGCATAAAATGGGCACACACAAAAAACTTGGAGGATCTGGACTTCGCCGATGATATGTCTGATTTCCCACAAACTGGAAGACATGCAAACGAAAAGCAACAAGTTGGCAGAAGAAGCATCAAAGATAGGACTTCAGGTGAACATAAATAAAACAGAGGTGATGAAAATTCCGGGGCAACACCACCAACAGCAACAACAACAACTGACAACCATCAGCATAAATGGGAGGAACCTGAAAGAAACAACCTCCTTTACCTACCTGGGAAGCATCGTTTCAACTACAGGCGGAACTGACGAGGATATCAAAGCGAGGATCGGGAAAGCAAGGTAAGCTCTCATTACTTTCAAGTCTGTGTGGAGATAGATCAACAGCACTCAGCATGAAAAATAAGATCCGGATTTTCAACTCCAATGTGAAGTCAGTGCTACTCAATATACGGATCAGAGACTTGGCCAGCGTGTCATAAAGAGCATCTCAAACAAACTACAGACCTTCATTAACAGTTGTCTTCGCTCAATACTACTCAAGATCAGATGGCTGGCCAGAAAAGATCAGCAACAGAGATCTCTGGGGGCGAACCAACCAGGAACCAATTGTGAAAAAAATAGGTAGGAAGAAATGGAGATGGATTGGCCATACTCTGAGGAAACCATCAAGTGACATCACTAGACAAGCCACTGCTCGAGTGGAACCCGAAAGGGAAGCGGCGAGTTGTTCGTCAGTGCAAGGGTGACTTGGAGGAGGTCATGTGAAGAGGAGATGAAAACGTGTGGGCAGACATGGACCCAGGTGAAGACTCTAGCAGAGAACCGAACGCACTGGAGACGCACGGCTGAAGCCCTATGTTCCTGTAGGAATTAAAGGATACAATAATAATAATTAGTCTTCAATTACTTCTTCTGAGCATATAGCTCGAACTCTGTGGCCGAGTGAGGGTCTTTACTAAATTTCTTTTGTACTTGAGAGCAACGAAGCTGTGAAAATGTGTATATTATCCTGTCCAAGTACTTTTCCTATGCAAATTTCTTTTTATGATACCATCTGGTTTTCTTGTAGGGAGGCAAACGGGAAAAGAATTCTATTTTCGGACTCCTCTTCGCATGTGAATTTCATAGCCGAATGTACTTCATTGAATTCAGTTATTATTGTACTTCTATCCGAATCAATTATCACAAAGAATGAAGGTGTCATCCATATACCGGCAATAAAATGAGAACTTTCTGATAAGGTTGTTCAAAGGTCCATTTTCTAGCTTACTTAGAAAGAAATCAGCCAAAATGGGACCCAATGGGAAGCCCATCGCCACCCCGTCCACTTGCCTGTAAAAAACGCCTCAGTCAGTTATCACTCTCTCCCTAAAGCCGGTTTCTTTAGATTTACATCAAACGACAGTTTTATGATCTAATGTAGCAGGGTGGAGGGAGAGATTGATAACTGACTGAGGCTTTGTTTATCGAATCAACTGTAAATACGTGTAATACAAATGATTCAACATCTATCCAGCCGGACATCTGGAAAATTCTACTACCCCAAAGACGATAAATAGGAGAGGACAAAGAAAACTATAAAACTCAAGTTTCGAAGTCGTGTGATTATAGTCGATGAAATGATTATGAACAATAATAAATTGTGTTCGAAACCTTGTCATCCAGTAAATAATACTGTTCCACTGTGTGAAACATCTAATAAACAAACTAATATGGTGAACTGGTTCGATTGAATAGCACAGGTTGTACGCAGCTGAAGAGAACCAATGAAGTAAAATGAACCCATATATATCATTCTGCGCTGGTGTTTATTCTATCCCTGTTCAGAATTATACAGAGGAATTCATGTATGTTAGTCTACCCAGTGTCTCGTCCATCTGTACTGTAAACGAGTGTTTGTCTTCCTCAACAAATAAATAAATAACTAGATGGTGTTAAGCTGATAAGAATCACAACACGAATCTAAAGAGCCACGAGAATTACTGACTTTAAGATGAACCACATTTGAATAGAAGAAAATAGGGAAGTGATGATATCAGATTTATAAAACAACCAATACTATACAAAATAATGTACAGAACATGAATGTGCTATTCACATATTTGTATATTTCTCTTCCGGGATAATTTAAGCACGTCTTTTTGACACTTTTTTCTGTCTCTGTCTTGACTTGCGTATATCTTTACGAATTTGTTTAGCCTTATTCGGTGTTGCTTGATGCTTCAATTGACTGAAATCCCGTCGAGCTCCACTATTCAACGAGTCAGCTGTATTACGCTTTTGACGCTTTTTCTGTCCACCATGACCATATTTATTATTTTTGTAGACACGTTTATGATTAATCCTAGGAGGAGAAAAATTTTTCAAAAAAACAAACAAGGTGGATATTATCACAAAGCATATTTATTTACTAATGGGACATGAAAAGGGCCGGGGGATTTGACAGAAAATCTCGTCATTATTTCAAACAAGACCTAGAAAACACGTTTCAATGAATCGGATTAAATAAAGTACTTTGAAGATAATGTCATATCGCGATAACTTATTCGCTGAAGCTCTTGGATCCAATTATTTAAATCAGTTAATCTGATGCTCACCAGCGACTGGTCCTATTCAGGCAGTTAGTTAGCTAGGGTTCTAGTGGGAAGTGACCAGTAGGGTACAGAGCAGGTTGAAGGTCAGGCAGTAGCTCATCGAAGAAGGCGTTGCGAAGTGGCCGCGCTATGTCATGAATTGGCTGGCAGAAGTTAGAATTCATGGGCTGGTTGGCCATTGGGTCGGGTTCCAGTGGCTTAATGGTCTACGAGCTCGCTAGCCTTGTAACCAGAAGGTGCTGGGTTCGAACCTCCTGTGATGGGTGCGTGCTGATGAAGAGTCCCAAACAGGACGAAACGGCTGGCTGTCCAGTGCTCCTTGGTGGTATTGCAATGGTTCTCTAAGTGATGTCAGCTCATGATGAAATCCTCCAATAAATCAGTTAAAATTTAGCGATAGTAAATGACTTAATATACTAGAAAACATACATAGTTGGAAACTCTTCAAACGGGTCAGATTAATATTATTTTATTATTGTTTACTTGGGTTTCGAGTGGAACAGCACCTCGCCATTTCCTTCTACTCTCTGCGGTCCTCCTCGCATCTGATCTAGCTTTATTTTCCTCTACGACCGTACAGCCTCTGAAGATGATTTCGTCGATAAAGAAAATTTTCTTCGCTGAATTGTCTTTTATTTTTTCTCATCACAGAGAAGTGCTTAAAAAGTCATAACTAATAGTGCAAATGCGATATTAAAAGACTCTTTAATGTTCTAGGAGTGTTATGTACACTTAATTTTGCCTAAAACCTTAAAGTAACCATTCTGAGGAGTTGTCGCGCACCGAGGTGAGCTCTCTTTTCCCCCCTCTGTTTGGATTGGTGCATCCCGATTGGCTATTAATACTTCAAATGCACCACTGAATTCCTGTTTTCAAGGTCATTCTAACTAGATAAATACGGATTTCGTCTAGCATTTTGACTGTTGTTTGAGACAGTAAAAGCTTTCTTATCGACGTCCAGTCCTTTATTTTGTTTTTGCGTGCCGGCTGTATTATTGTTGTTGCTGACGTGCAATCAGGACAGATTAGCCAGGGCAACAAGTTGTGGCGAGAGCTGTCTGCTAGCCAAAATTGGTAGACAGCAGCAATTTACGTCAATGTTTACCTCCCAAATACTGTTCATGAAAAACAAACAAGAACAAAGACTAACTCAACAACCAATCACAGCAGACTCAGCGCGGGCGGGTACGATTCGCAGATATATGGTCTGACCTTCAAAGAAACGACCACAAAGAGATGACAGATTAACTTCCAGTGAGAAAACGACCAATCAAAAGACGCTGTTTCTCTGCTAACAATAACCTATAATAATGTACATAAAAATCTATAAATATCTCAATAAACGATCTGTTGCCTGGCCTTTATCTTCTGTCGTTACAAAGTTAGTATTCGCTCATAGTCTACTAGGTCATAGTCCCGGTCATAACAATGAGGTATACTTAATGTGTACAATCCCGTAACGCTATCAAGTTTCCTCTAACCAGAAGGGATAGGTGTCAGGAGATCCCACTACCACTTGCCTAAGTGGATTTACATTTTATCATGGAAAAAGTAAACCCATGGGGTTCGATTCTATAAATATTAACAAACAAAATAACATTTTCGAAAGTATACAGCACACACTTACTTTCGTCGATTAGCATAATCTTTAGCAGTATGAAAACTTTTCTCAGCTGCCTTTTTATTCGATTTTTCATTTGGTTCATAATCTTTTTTGAAATCATTCAATATCTGTTCCAATCTCTCTTCACGATTAATACCTTTTTTAAAAAAAAAGAGGATTTAAGGGAGTTGAAGCCATTTCACTATAGATCGACACAATTATATATAAGGCCAAGTAAAATCTTTATAAGAAGTTCTATTTTTTGTCTCATTTGATTGATGATAGCGGTCACCAAGAAGACAGAAAAAGAAGAAGAAAGTGTCTTCAAAGTTATCTATCTCGCATTACATCGAATCTTTAGAATGGAATTCGAACCCGCCTGTTAAATACACATCCGAAGAAGCTATGGGAATTCGAGGGAGAAAGAGAGAGAACAATCCGAGTCTTTGCAAACAAAAGTAGTTTGTTCTACCTTTGTCTTTACCTTGTTTGCATAGGTAAATTCTGATTTTAAAATAAATGTCCCACCCTTTCTTATTTTCCATTTCCTTCGTACTTTATGACATTTATTTAAACTTTCATTATCTGTCCACTTCAGCCTTAGCATTAGGTAACCTGACCTAGGTTTGACCTAATTCATTTATTTATCCACATATCGCCACTCCAATGTGAAGTCAGTGCTACTATACAGATCAGAGACTTGGCGCGTCATAAAGAGCACCTCAAACAAACTACAGACCTTCATTAACAGTTGTCTTCGCTCAATACTCAAGATCAGATGGCTGGCCAGAAAAGATCAGCAACAGAGATCTCTGGCAATGAGCGAACCAACCCAGAAGGAACCGATTGTGAAACAAATAGGCAGGAACAAATGGAGATGGATTGGCTGGCCATATTCTGAGGAAACCATCAAGTGACATCACTAGACAAGCCATTGCTCGAGTGGAACCCGAAAGGGAAGAGGCAAGTTGGTCGTCAGTGTGAGGGTGACTTGGAGGAGGTGATGTGAAGAGGAGATGAAAGCATGTGGGCAGACTTGGAGCCAGGTGAAGACTCTAGCAGAGAACCGAACGCAATGGAGACGCACGGCTGAAGCCCTATGTTCCTCTAGGAATTAAAGGAAATAATAATAATAATCGCCACGTGCATAAACCTTATTACCATTATTTTATCATTATAATCATAGTTATTACTGACGTCCAAAACACTTAACACTTATTATTTCTCAAGAATTAGTCTGTAAGGAATGTATTTGCTTCAGATTAGACCACGAATTGATATTAATAAGAGGACCATTAAAAACCCGTCACAGGGAGTACTGGACAGCTATTTCATCCTAGTTTGGGATTCATCGGCAGTACGCAACCACCACCAGGGTTCGAACTCAGAACCTTCCGGTCACAAGGCAAGCTCGTAGGCCATTCATTCAGTCACTGGGACCCGATTCAATGGCCTGCCTTTGAATTCTAATCACCATCAATTCGTGATTTTAACGCCACCACCAACCACTGTTATCGGTGGGAAATCCATCCTCACTCCAGAGTGGATAAACCCCACTGGTCACGACTTCTCACTAGAACTCCAGGCACTTTCGTCATGTAAACAGTTACTAGGTGGCACCAGATTAATTTTCAAGAATTAGTTTGTAGGGATTCTAGTTGTTTTTAGGTTAGACCACGGATTCATCGGCAGAACGTACTCACTTATTATTATTAGTAGTACTATCATTATTGTTACTATTATTCGATTCACAAACTCGCCGTCATTGTTAATATATGAGTAAAACTTGGCCACTGTGGCAGTGAGAATTTCATATTAGTTTGTTCATTAGATATATCACACAGTGAAACAGTATTACTGTTTACTCGATGACAAGGTTTCCAACACAATTTATCATATCAAGTATGATCACACGACTTCGAAACTTGAGTTGTATAGTTTTCTTTGTTCTCTTCTATTTCTCGTCGTTGGGACAGTAGAATTTTCCAGATATCCGGTTGGAGAGGTGTTGAAGAAATCTAGAGAATAGTTCAGTCGTAGATAGCTCTCACTACATGCAATTACACACAACTATACAATAGGATGGATGGGATAAGATGACAGTTTTAAAATCTAATGTAACAGCAGGGTTGGGGGGAGAGATTGATAACTGACTGAGGCTTTGTTAATCGAATCAACTGCAAACACATGTAACAGGAATGATTCAACACCTGTCCAATCAGACATCTGGAAAATTCTACTACCCCAAGGATGGCAAATAGGAGAGAACAAAGAAAACTATAAAACTCAAGTTTCGAAGTTGTGTGATCATACTTGATATGATTATAAACAATGTGATAAATTGTGTTGGAAACCTTGTCATCGAGTAGTAAACAGTAATACTGTTTATTCACTGTGTGATATATCTAATAAACAAACTGATATGGAATCACTGTCATTGGTTAATTTTTTATACATAAAGCTATGTAAATTAGAGTACAGTCTGAAATCTAATTGAGAACAATATTGTCCGCTTATATGTTATGTTCTAATATTAACAATTAAATAAAACACGTTAATAGTGAAATTACTTAGCAGTTAACAAATTGTAAATGCATGCTCATAACAAGAAAGTATGATTAGATTTTAAGGTTTCCCAGAACCGATGGATCACCGATTCGAAATACACCTGTTAAGGTAATATCATTGTATGTATTATTATGATTCTTGTTTCCTTTAGATCTTAGAGGAAAATAGGGCTTCAGCCGCACGTCTCCATTGCGTTCGGTTCTCTGACAACGTTTTCACCTGGCTCCATTTCTACGTCTGCTCACATGCTTTCATCTCCTCTTCGCATCACCTCCTCCTCCATATCACCCTCGCACTGATGACAAACTCGCCGCTTCCCCTCCGGGTTACACTCGAGCGATGGCCTAGTGTGTGATGTCACTTGATGGTTTTCTCAGAGTACGGCCAGCCAATGCACCTCCATTTCTTACTGCATACTTCTTGCACAATCGGTTCCTGTTGTGCTGGTTCGCTCATTGCCAGAGATCCCTCACTATGGCTGATCTTTTCTGACCGACCATCTGATCTTGAGTATTGAGTGAAGACAGCTGTTGATAAGGGTCTGTAGTTTGTTCGATGTGGCCTTCTTCACGCGCCGTCTCTGATTCGTATAATGATTAACACTCACTTCACATTGGATGTAGATGATGAGAATCATTATATCTGTTATCATCTTAGATCCACTGACAGAGATTTTCAAAAATATCTGCTGCTGCTGGATTCAACATAGAACTTGGCACCGAAGTGCAGCAGTTCCAGTTGCCACGTTCCAAATAGCACACAAAGGTAGACAGGAAAATGAGAGAAGAGAATCAATAGAATTTAGATAAGTATAAGAGTGAAACAGAATGAGTAATGGTAGAAAGGAATATGAAGGTTAAAGAGACTGAATACATCTTCGCCATTGACAACGATTTTGAGCCATGTCAGCTATTGTCTCCAGCCATTGATTCTTAGAGTCCCGGTGGCCCCAACCCGGATATATCACATGTAACAGTGTGGTGGTGTGATACAGACAATGCGATCCAACGGAATATTATTCTCACATGTTCCCACAGTTCAGTGCTGCACTGACGACAAAATACTATGTATATCTGAACATTTTATTTGATGTTGTTTAACGTAAACCGAAATCACACGCTCAGTGATTCATTAAAGAATATAAACTGTAGATATATAACCAGTGGTTTGATTACTGAAATATATGCCTTGGCTGCCGTGTCTTGCCTACTATTGTTACAGTAGTACTACCCTCAGCTTTCGAAAAAAGAAACTCTTAGGCTGTAAGAGAATGACATTTATACGGTAGGATGAAATCAATGGATATTGGGGTCAGGCTTTTATGCCAAATCCATAGGATAATCAACATCTGTCACTAATCCTTTGTAGAGAAGAAATCAAGGACTCTATGTGTGTGTGTAGATGAAGGTGAAGATCAAAAGGCTGTTTTATCCAGAAAAAATAAACAAATCGGTACGATAACTAAAAAAGCGGAGATTTCTAAGCTCCGTTATGAACTTATCCATCATCTACGGAACTGTTTACAGGCAAAGAATGCTGAACAAACACTTCACCTCAATTCAGGACTCCAAATTTAAGTCGAAATCTGTTTTGTTTTTTTATTATTCCTTTGCATTCCCAGTGGAGCATAGGGCTTCAAGCTAGAGGTTTGAAGTTTCGGTAGCAGCGGTGGTGTTTATTTTTACGGGATTCGGTTGCTAACCTCATGCCCAACACCTTTCCTCTTTACCAATCTTATTACCGGCTTACAGAGGTAAAGGAGTGCGGCGTCGGCTGGTGGTCGAACCACGGACCACTTGGGGTGTGGTTGGAGAGCATGCTACCACTGCGCCACTGACGCACCGAGTCGAAGTCTTATGATGAGCACATTAATATTTAGCTATTGGTTTGAAACTTACTAGACAAATTCATAAGAAATCGTTGTGACTACTGCCTAGTCTGTCCCTTAAGATCTAACTTGGTCACTGTCTCCTGTTGGAAATTCATGAAAAATCCGTCTCCAAGCAACTCATTTTCACCTAAATAACATCGGGTTTCAGTGGTGCTGTATGATGAAGCATACGTCAAAATTTACAACACCTGCTAACCATAGTATCCGATATCTAGAAACGACCAACAGGTGATCTTTTGTCTAATTTAGCTTTTGTACTATTTGACACTTGATAGGACCCCGAAATAAAATAGTATATCTTCCCTTCTCACAAATCGTGTGATTTACCATGTGATGGAGTTACTATGTGGATCTATCATTTCTCACGCATATTGTGATTTAGTGTGTGATCAATTCACCGTCTTTTGTCTCACCTTGATCTTTTTCGGATCACCAACCAATCAGAGTAGACATTTCCAGACTATAAGAACAATCCATTCTCACGGTTGTGAGCCAACTGTATTATTGTTATGATAAATTAAATATCTAAATATGATGTTTTGTTTCCTAATAGATGTACAAAATACACTATCTTACAGTTACGCGTCAGCCTTTGTCGGCCAAGTTTAAAAAGCTTTAGCAGGTCGATTGATGGATATGCAATTTGCCTGAGACGAGTTAGTATTAAGGAATGTAAGCTGATAATTTTAATATTTCGTAGGAACATTTTTTGCTAGGTTGCATCTCTCCTTAACCCAGATTTTGTATATTTGTAATTACTGGGTTTTAAAACAGCCTGTGAGAGGTGCAGCTGCTGAAACTGAAAATAGCCTCGTATAAACAGTTCAGTGGTACCAGCACTGCAGAGACATCGCCTCATGGAAAATGGAGAGAATTACTTCGTTGTTAGGCGGAGAAGGCGTCGTCGTACACGTGGACGAAACTGTCTTATTGAAGAAAAAATACAACCGTGATCGTCAGCGAGGCAACAATGTTTGGGTAATTGGTTTATACGACACCTCCCTACGGAAAGGATTCGTGGAGAGAATACTTGACAGAAAGTCAGATACTTTAATACCTATTATTACTAGACTTGTGAAACAGGGATCAATAGTACATACTGATTAATGGAAAGGTTATAAATTGCTGTCATCTCTTGGATATATTCATCACAGAGTGAACCATTCTAGTGATTTTGTGGATTCCATTAAGGGGACACACACAAATTCTATACAAGGATTTTGGGGAAGATTAAAAAATAGGATTAGGGATATATAAATGGATCTCAAAAGGATCTCATTTATAGTCAATTGGATGAGTATATGTACAGAATGTGGTGTGACTTTTCCATTGACAGTCCTATGCTAAACAGGGAGGTGCTTCTGTCACATGTTAGAGAAAGATACCCTGTGTAACAGTTTTATGCAGTTTTAATTTTTTCCATAAATATAGGTTTTCCTTTATCAAAAATCCCTCTTTCATGTGATTGGTCCGTTGAAGGTCGTTCGCTGATTGGTAGTTAGTGATGCTTAAAGTTGCCCCTTTGTCCTCTGATATTTGCGTGGTTCAGTGAATCAGAGGGCACAACGGACAAATAGACTGATTAACAGGCACAAACATAACAAAGTAGCGACGGCTTTTATTCAATATAGCTGATGAATTACGCTGCATCTTCAAAACCACTCCTCTTTTGCGTTCGGGAGTAAAAGAGAAACTGCCTAATTTCGCCTCTTCCATGTGTATCTAACAATTTAACTGCTCCTGTGGAGCCAGTTACATAGGCCGTACAATTAGGCGTTTCTCGTTGGATTTCCGAACATCATCATGCATAGTGGTTAAGTGAAGGACAAAACAAATTCCAATTACATAACTCTATTCTTTCTCATCTCGTGGATACAGAACACAAGATTGATGTTAACGAGGCGGCTTTCAAAGTCATTTACCGCATACCAACAAATCTTAATTTTGCCTTAAGAGTTCGACTGCTAAATATTGCTGAGGCTGTTGGGATCCACCTTAAGAAGCCTAATTTATGTGTCTAAAAGAAGCTGTCCTTACCTTGGCCATCTAGGTTTGAATGATCCTCAACTGTTTGTAGAAATTTCCGTAATTTTAGTTGATATTCTATTTGCTATTATATTTTTATGCTGATTATAATTTATGCATCTTTAATGAACTGTAATTCCATCGAGACCTTACTTTACAAATCGATATTATTGTTATTGACTTCTATTCCAAAATATTATATAAATATAAATATATATATATATATATATATATATATATAAGCACACATATACATATACATAATTGTAGAGCCAGGAGAGGAGGAAATTATCGAAGAGGATATTATTTGCTCAATTATTTTGGGTTTTTATTCAGTTCAGTTCAGTTATAACACACTATTCACCAAAATCTATTCTAGCAGCAATCTCAAAAATCCCCAGAATCAAGTCACTATTAGAGGGATTAGTTTCAAAACATCAATGTAGAACATTTTTTAATGTACGTATCACCATACTGTTTGATTTACCTTAACTAGCCTAAAATAGAACAACAAAGGAACATTCCTACAGTTTATAAAAGGCTTTCTTTCTCTTAGGTTATGTATATGCATTAACTAGTAGTCTTTAGGTGTGTGTGTGTGTGGCGTGTGCTACTGACAAGATTTATCAGCAGTATATAAAGACAGATTGATAGAAAGTAGACAAAATTGAAAACAACATTATAAGTAGACAGTGGCTGCAGACGTAGATTTAGCTGATGTTGTGGTCAGGAGATAAGCTCAAGGTTTAACCTTCAGAAAATCAAAAACCAATCAGAGCAGTTCATTATCTGTTGACCTAGCCGACCATAAATGTGGCTAAAAAAGTGTATAAATATGGCGTGTTCTTCCTCAATAAAAAGGCATGTTATCAAGTATGTTGTCTTCTCACGTTACAAGTGTGCACAATTTTTAATCAGAACTTCTTTTTAAGTGCGTATAACTAGCCAAAACGAGAGACTTTATAAAACATATTAGTAATGACGTTAGGTGTAACGACACAGGTCATTGCTATATTCACATAATAATATAATCAACATTTTTAGATACCAATGACATTATATATATATATATATATATATTCTTGAGTAGCAAAATACTAGTTTGCATAGTGTTATTAGAAGACGAAGATAATCTGAAAAATTTGTGATGCATTTGCGCAATACATTTCGAAAACAACAATCTGATCCCTCACACACGAAGTTGTACCAATTTTGTCTAGTCTGCCACCTGCTTTTACCGATTTTCCACAGTTCATCTGTCCTTCTAATCATTTAGGAATATGCTCTCCCATTTTTTTTGTTTTTTTCCTTCACCTTCCCACTGGAACATAGAGATTCAAGCTAGAGGCTTGAAGTTTCTGTAGCAGTGATTATTTTTACAGGATGGGGTTGCAAAGTCTCATGCCCAACCTGTCCTCTTTGTCAGCTTTATTTCTGACTTGGCAAGGTAGAGGAGTGCGTCGGCCGGGGATCAGACCCCAGACCATATGCATGGTGGACGAGCGTCCTAACCACTGTGCCATCGACTCATCCATCCTCACATGCAAAGTACTATTACTCCTTCGTAAGTACATGTGTCCACATACATGTACGTGAACTAGTATATATTATGAGATGTGATGTAATAGCTTGTACACTTTTGAGGTTTGTGCAGTGAAGCATAGTTTTGGCTTTTTCAATAATCATAAGAAGGGTTGCATAATAGGTTCTACGGATGATCGAGTTTAGTCTCTGTTCTAAAATTCTACTATCTACTTAGCCATTGTATAGTAATTCAATGAAAGCATCTTTCTCAGGGACAGAGTAGGCTTTACGTTTTAAAACTATCTAACTGAATTCTACAGAGGTTCAATATATATATATATATATATATATATATATATATATATATGAATTGAAAAATAGATAAACATTAAATAAAATTTTTCTAAAAAACTATTAATCTACCTGTTTTCTTCCATGTACTTTTTACAGCTTCTGTTAATTTACGTTTCTCTTCTTTACGTGCTTGATTAACTTTTTGTTGAACTTGTTTGCCAAATTTACGTCTTTCTCTTATTTGTCTAGCTCGTTCACGTAACGCTAACTTTTGTTTTGTTTCAACTAAGTACTGTTTAATCTAAATTAAGCAAAACAGTATATACAAAAAAGTGTACATCATATATATACACAGCATAAAATTAAAGCTAAAGAAATGAAGTTAACTTGTAACGACAGAAGACAAGGGGGTCAGGCAACAGATCGTTCATAGAGAAAATCAACAGATATTTATAGATTTTTTATGTACATTATTGTCAGCGGAGAAGCAGCATCTTCTGATTGGTTGTTTTCTTGCTGAAGGTTATTCTGTACTACTTGTGACCGTTTCTCAGAAAGTTAAGCCATATATCTGCGAATCTTATTTGCACACGTTAAGTCTGCTGTGATTGGTTGGTGAGTTCCTCAAGGTTAAGCTTTGTTATTGTTTTTCTCATGACCCCGACATTGACGTAAGTTGCTGTCTACAATTTTGACTTGTTCGCAGCCAGCTCTCACCACAAACTAAAAACAATTTCAACGCTATCCATCGTGGTTATTCACTTAACCTACCCAGCCAGCCAGCAAGGTGAATCTGAAAAATTCACTTTAAGGGTGTCAGGAGACTCCTCAGCATCGACTGTTAGGGTAGAAAAATCACTTCTTGACTGAATCTGAGTAGATAATCGTATAAGTGCGTCCATCTGGACGGGTCCGTTAGAAGAAGGAAGGACAGCGTTACCTGTCGTTGTCTTTTCACAGTCTCCACTAACGCCTAACCGACTGCAGTTCGGTTAAATTAAAGGATGATTTCTACCAGAAACTGTCTAGTTTGCTGCAAAAAGCAAAACGTTCAGATATAGTTGTTTTAGCAGGCGACTTCAATGCCCAAGTAGGAATTTCCAGACTAGAAGTATGGTGGTACGTATGGAGTTCCCTGCCGACGAACCGACAATGGTGATCGTCTTCTACAGTTCTGTTTAGATAATCATCTGTTCCTAGTCAGCACTAACTTTAGGCACAAAGAGAGACATTACCTAACCTGGCGACCTGCATCACCAAATCAACGCTGGACTCAGATAGACCACATAGCGATAGGGTATCGTTGGCGAGGGTCAGTAGAAGAGAATACTGTCGCTGCTTTTGGAACACGTGTGTAGACTCCGATCACGCCCTGGTTCGCGCACGTTTATGCTTACGATTAAACGGACATAAAAAATTGTTGGCAGCGAAGCAGTTGCGCTCACAACTAGATCAAGACACTGAGTCCCGATTTAAGGAAGCAATAGCTAAACGAGTATCTGAGGTCGACAGCAAGACTCCTCCTGAGAAAGCCTGGCACAATATACAGTTAGCCATAGTCACATCTGTAAAGACTGTTGATAACATAAAACCAAGAGTTAGTAAGTGCCAGGACCTGATAGAATGACTCCAGAGGTGCTTAAGGACGGTGGAGACAGTTTACTGTCTGCATTAACTGAGGTACTAGGCAGCGTCTGGGAATCAGAGGAAGTCCCGCCAGGTTGCTGTTAGTCATTGATTATTCCCATATACAAGAAGGGAGACAAGTCTTCTTGTGATAATCACAGGGGGATTAGCTTGACTAATATTGTAGCTAAAGTTCTAGGCTCAATAATAATGCGTAGACTAATTGCTGCTCGGGAGGAACAAACACGAGAGAACCAGGCAGGCTTTAAACCAGGAAGAGGGTGTATTGATCATATCTTAACCCTTCGACAGATTCTGGAACATAGGCATACTTACCGGCGTCCAACAATCATTATATTTTTTGACCTAAAGCGGTATTCGATTCTGTCGACCGGGAGGTTCTCTGGCGATGCTTGGGTGTAAAGGGAATGTTGAGAAAATACATTGCACTGATCAAGACATTCCCTCTTCTCGAACTCCAAAGCCTCAGGATGGTCGGGGTGGGTGCCTTGCGTTGCGGGTTGGCCACCCCTCCACACACCTCTTGAAATGCTCCCATATGACCAGGCGTCTTACATAGCCTCTCCTGAGGAAGTCCTACTCACTGCCTTCACGTGGCGGAGGTGTTTTTCACCAAAGTGAGAGGGCGAAAGCAGATGCCCGGCGCTCTTCACCGGGTTGACTGTCCATTGGATGACAGTCTAGGGGAGATGGCTAAACCCTGATTCCAAACCTCCAACGACTGGCGTTTGAAGCTCACTGGAGCTCACCGGCAGACGTATGGACAAAGGGCTTGTTGGATGTCCTGGATGTCTGGCCCCATTCAAAAAGGCGTATTAACCGAACTCCGGTCACCGGCTGCCAATGGATAGTGGACTCCCTACTCCACTCCTACTGCCTTGTAGGTCACACTTGGTTGTGTAAAGGCTAGATCTGCACTCTCAAACAAAAGGCCGAGCGATTCTGGGGACATCACTCGTACCAAATTCCCATGAAACTTCATGAACTCTCTTACAAACGATTCGAGATGTTCATGAAGCCGGCTCATCCTCCCGTAGGAGATAGCCGAAGTAAAGTAAGTAAATGCAGTCAGCCAGGTGAGAGCCTACGGGAAGTTGTCATCTGAAGTGGTGACAATCAGTGGTGTCCGATAGGCATGCCCACCACCAATGTCCACATTTGTGTTTAATCTCATCATAGATGTACTAATGGACTTAGCCCTAACTGACTTCAGCAACTCATGGATCATCTTGTTATCACCACCAAGGAACAATATTCTCGTTGACTTAGAATATGCGGATGATATAGTCCTCCCTCCTTCTGAACACCTTGAGGAACAGCAATCTTACAACGTTTGGTATACGATTCGCTCGTGCTGTCAAGTGTAAGATGATGAGGCTACAGGATTGAACTACATCGACTCACTTCTAGCTTAAAGGTAGGTAGGAGTGAAGTGGCGGCTGAGCGTGTTGACCACTTCACTTATTTTATGGGAAGTCACATCAGCCAACCCAGTGGGTTGATCGCTCATGAAATCTCACCGCGGGTCCAGAAGCTTCGTTTGGCATATGCCAACTCACACCATCTCTCCCTTAGTAGACGTGACATCCGACTGGCTATCCACCAATAGACGTGTTTACTGCTCAGCAACAGTTCTCTCCGTCCTCCTTTATGGCTGTCGGTGAAACATTGCCACTGAGAGTGGGAGACACGAAAAGGCTGGCTAGCTGTCTTTGATCATAAGTGTCTGCGCTCCATAGCCCGTGTAAGGTGGTATCATACGGTGAGTAATAGTGACAGATTAAGCTTCGGTCGAGTGCTAGGTAGGTGGGAGGGGAAATCGATCGACGAGGTTGTGGAGCAGTAAAATCGATTAAAATGGTTAGGACATGTGTTATGCATGCATGTGTGGCCATAACCTTCCTCGACGATGGGCAATGTTAGCTAACTGACATAGTATCAGGTTGGGAAAGAGCTGCGAGTGGTGGTCAAAACGAAACATGGAATCAGTCCATGAAATCTTTAACAGTTAGTTTGAGCCAGCCAGTCACGTAGGGAGGTGTACACTGCCTGACTGGTTGATGTCCTCGGAATAGTAAGAACCAATGAAGGCTGGAGATAATTGGTGATATGACTCAAAATCCTCATTCTCATTGAGCAGTGCAGATGAATTCACTCTTTATCATTTGTCATGTCCAACAAAACTCAATTGTCCTCCTATATTGCTATTCTTTTTCCCTAACTCACACTTCCGTTTATTATCTCTTTTATGAACCTCTCTTTACCCGTTTCTCTTGCTTTGTGTGCTACATGAAGTGTGGCAACTGGAACTCCTGCATTTCTGAGCAAAGTTCTATGTTGAAACCGGTCAGTTAGTTAGTTAGTTAGGTTAGAATAAATTAACAACTGTCGTAAGAAAATTGTTAAAAACTAGGGATTACAATGAACAGATATCCAATGATATATTGAATCCAACTCTGAAAGCAAGACATAGATGTGTACTGTTGGAAAACCTTAGAATATAACAGAGCATTTCCAAAGAAAGGAGACTTAAGTCAATGCAAGAACTGGCGCGGAATTATGCTCCTGTCCATCCCAAGCAAAATACTAAGCCGCATCATCCTGGAGAGAATCAAACATGCCCTGGATGAAAAACTTCGACCGGAACAGGTTGGATTCAGGAGAAACAAGTCATGCATTGATCAGATCGCCACATTACGGATCATCATTGAACAAAGCTTGGAGTGGCAGTCACCTCTCTATCTCAACTTCATCGACTTTGAAAAGGCCTTTGACAGCGTCGATCGAGAGGTGATTTGGAAACTACTTCGCTACTACGGGGTGCCACAGACAATAATACATCTCATCCAACAGTTATACGACAATGCTGCATGCCAAGTAATCCACAAAGGGAAACTTACAGAACCCTTCGAAGTGAGGACAGGAGTAAGACAAGGCTGCCTAGTATCGCCAATGATTTTCTTGATTGCAGTAGACTGGATAATGCGACAAACAGTGGGCAATGAGGAAACAGGTATAAAATGGACACACAAAAAACTTGGAGGATCTGGACTTCGCCGATGATATGTCTGATTTCTCACAAACTGGAAGACATGCAAACGAAAAGCAACAAGTTGGCAGAAGAAGCATCAAAGATAGGACTTCAGGTGAACATAAATAAAACAGAGGTGATGAAAATTCCGGGGCAACACCACCAACAGCAACAACAACAACTGACAACAATCAGCATAAATGGAAGGGACCTGAAAGAAACAACCTCTTTTACCTACCTGGGAAGCATCGTTTCAACTACAGGCGGAACTGACGAGGATATCAAAGCAACAATCGGAAAAGCAAGACAAGCTTTCACTACTCTCAAGTCTGTGTGGAGGTCAACAACACTCAGCATCAAAAATAAGATCCGGATTTTCAACTCCAATGTGAAGTCAGTGCTACTCAATATACGGATCAGAGACTTGGCGCGTCATAAAGAGCATCTCAAACAAACTACAGACCTTCATCAACAGTTGTCTTCGCTCAATACTCAAGATCAGATCAGATGGTCAGAAAAGATCAGCAACAGATATCTCTGGCAATGAGCGAACCATCACAGCAGGAACCGATTGTGAAACAAATAGGCAGGAAGAAATGGAGATGGATTGGCTGGCCATACTCTGAGGAAACAATCCATCAAGTGACATCACTAGACAAGCCATTGCTCGAGTGGAACCCGAAAGGGAAGAGGCGAGTTGGTCGTCCAAGGGTGACTTGGAGGAGGTCATGTGAAGAGGAGATGAAAACGTGTGGGCAGACTTGGAGGCCAGGTGAAGACTCTAGCAGAGAACGGAACGCAATGGAGACGCACTGCTGAAGCCCTGTGTTCCTGTAGGAATTAAAGGATACAATAATAATAATAATTTCCAAATTATGAAATTCTTAAGTCAATAATTGGGACCTGAAGTAAACGACTGTATTCCACATGGTATTACAGTTTAGAATTAACCACTGATACATTCATTATAGGGTTCCATACTTGATCTCTGAAGTTTCAATAGCAGTTATTTTTTTACGGGGCTGTATTGCTAGCTTCACATCCAACTACCTTCCATCTCTGCGGGGTTTACTACCTACTAGGAGAGGTTTTAGAAGTCCGTCAGCTGGTAATCAAACCCAGACCACATGTATCGCAGGTGACCTAACCCTTTTTAAAAATGGTGACGAGATTCTCATCATGGGAATTGACTGGACTAATTAGGAAACCATGGGAAAGAGAATGTTCCACCAATATGGAATGAAGCCATCTTCGTGCCTGTCTTTCAAAAGGGCGTACGTAATACGCGTGACAATCATAGGGGTATTTAGTTTGTTACTAGTCGCATCTAAAATAGTGGTCGCTGTCTTTCTTCGCAGGCTGTGCAAAGTACGTGAGAGGCTGGTTCGCGAAGGGCAGGCTAGGTTTCGTTCAGACCGTGGATGCATTGATCTTGTGTTCACCCCTTGTCAGTTACTACAACACTATCACTCGTTATGCAGACCAACAATCGTTGTGTTTCTTGATATCAGGGTTGCCTTCGATTTGTTCGACAGGACTGCTCTATGGGACTGTCTATTAGAGAGGGGTTTTCCTGAAAAGTTCGTTAAAATCCTGAAAGTCCTATGCAGAAACATCTCAGGCAGAGTAAGGGCATACAATCAGATATCACCACTATTCCCGACCTACAGTGGGGATTAGACAGAATTGCCCAATCTTTTCGTTTTCTTTAAATTTGCTACCGATGGCATTCTGCAGACAGTTTTGAAGGAGATGAGTGGTGACAGTATTGATTTGTTTCTTGGAAAAAACTTTTCAACTTTAGGTATACAGACATCGTCTTAATGTGTGATAACATGCAGGCTGTCTAAATCTCATTTAATCAGTTGGCGATCAGTGTCTGTTAGTGTTGTATGTGCTTTACGCCGTCCAAGTGCAAAGTACTGTTGCAGGATTGACAGGAGTCTGTACTTTCATTCACACTTGCATGTGAACCCGTTGAGGTTGTAGACAATTCTGGGTATCTAGGTAGTTGTGTAAGTACTGACGGAGGTGTGATGGATGAGATCTCTAACCGTATCATGAAAGCTAGGGTGGCACACGCCAATCTGAGCCACCTCTGCTGCCGCCACGACGTCAGCATGGATGTTAACGGTCACGTTTACAATGCTTCAGTGCATGCAGTCTTATTCTGGGGCTGTAAGACCAGGCTCTCCCCCCAGTTGAGGATGTGCGGAGACTGAGTATTCGATCATCGCTGTCTCCGTAGGACTGCTTGCGTTCGATGGTACTATCGTGCAAGTAATTCTGAGACCCAGCAGCGTGCGTTTGCGTCTATTATGCATTTCTTCTCTTGCTTTGTGTGCTACATGGAGTGTGGCGACTCGAACTGCTGCACATGGGTGCAAAGTTCTATGTCGAAAACAGACAGACAGACTAGGCGGTACATGAGTAGCTACAAAATATTCATGTAAATTACTAAGTCATGAATCCACTTTCATCAACTAACCATGTTCAGAACTGAGTTCGACTCCAAGTCAAATCGGTCCTCAGAACAAGTTTTTCATGTTCCAGGTCATGGTCCACACTTATTGCATGAGGACTGCTAATACTACCCAGTTGTCTAAGCTGAAGTAGGTAGAAGTGAATTCGAACATCGAAATCCATTGGCTGAAGGACAAGTGTTTAAACCAATGGAGACGTAACTTACTAACTTAAGCACTCCACTTCCAGTTACTAGGTTTCGGGTTCCAATCCTACTTCCCCCCCCCACCTACTTCAGCCTGGGTGACTGGATAGTATTATCAGCCTTCACACAATAAGCGTGGGTCATAGCATGGTATATGGGGAGTCTCTTCGAAGTATCTAAGTTCAAACAACAAAACTACCCATTTAAATTCTGATCAATGTGAATAATACTTGACTAGTTTGTGTTATCTAAACAGATCATACAATAATGCATAAATACAAACATTACCGAAAATACTCACTAACCTTTGTCATATGACTGTCTGTTTTAACCATTTCTGCAAAATAATCAGATGGACGTTTAGTTGGTACATCTAAAGCATGCAACTGTGGGATAGCTTTCAATACTGCAGCTTGTGCTATACGATAACTAAACAAACAGAGAAACAATGAAAACGAAAACAAAAAACAAATGAACATAATGACAATAGACTTCAAACAAAAAAACTAAATATATCGCCCCACAATCACATAAAATGTCATGTACTGGGCGATGAGTCACAAATACAGTGTGAGAATGATAGGCTACTGACCTAACAAAACCATACTAGGTAGAGCAGAAATCGAACCCGTAACCTCTTGACTTGAAGGAGGCCTTCGACTCCGTGGATCGAAAGGTACTATGGCAATGTTTGACTGTGAAGGAAGTGCCAAGAAAGTACATTGCACTAATCAAGGCACTCTACTCAAACTCACGTAGCCGTGTAAGGGCTTATGGGGAATTGTCATCTGAACTGATAACAATCAGTGGTGTCCGTCAGGGATGTCCACTTTCCCCATTTCTGTTTAACTTCATTATAGATATGCTAATGGAATTATCCTTAACTGAACTTAACGACTTAGGAATCGACTTGTTACCAGGGTATAGTCTTGTGGACTTAGAATATGCAGATGATATAGTCCTGTTAGGGGAGGATGCTGACAAAATGCTGTCTTCTGAACACCTTGAGCAGCAATCTTCGTATGTTTGGCATGCGAATCGCCCCTGTAAAATGTAAGATGCTGCCACAGGACTGGACCACGTCAACTCCTAGCTTAGTGATAGGGAGTGAAGTGATAGAACATGTTGACCACTTCACCTATTTGGGATGTTGTATCAGCACCAACGGACTGATTGGCGACGAAATCTCAGCACGGATCCAAAAAGCTCGAGCTGCTTTCGCTAACTTACGCCATCTCTGGCGTAGGCGTAACATCCGGTTATCAACCAAAGGATGTGTGTACTGCTCAGCAGTTCGCTCTATGGCTCTGAAACATGGCCGATACGAGCTGAAGACATGAAAAGGTTGTCTGTTTTTGATCATAGGTGTCTACGATCTCTTTCTCACGTTAGGTGGTATAATAAGGTAAGTAATGTTGACGTCAGGCGTAGAGTGTTGGGCAAAGAGGGAAAATCAATCGAAGAGGCTATAAAGTTACATAGATTGAGATGGCTAGGTCACGTGCTGCGTATGCTTAACCATCGCCTCCCACGACGGGTATTACTAGCTGATATAGGTGCAGGTTGGAAAAGCGTAAGTGGTGGCCAAACAAAAACATGGCATCAATCCATGAAATCCCTGACAGTTAAACTGAGTCAGGTAGGGAGATGCAAACTTCGGGGTTGGGGCCCTCGGGACTCTAAGAATCAATGGCTGGAGACAAAAGGTGACATGACTCAAAATCGTTGTCAATGGCTTACGCAGATGTATTCAGTCTCTGTAATCTTTCATATTCCTTTCTACCATTACTCATTCTGTTTCACTCTTATACTTGTCAAAACTCTATTGATTCTCTTCACTCATTTTCTTGTCTACCTTTGTGTGCTATTTGGAACGTGGTAACTCGAACTGCTGCACTTCGGTGCCAAGTTCTATGTTGAATCCAGACAGACAGAGAGACTGACTGAGAAATCAAAGTTGCACAAAGATGTCATTGGTCTGCTTTTTACATCAAACTACTGTCAATAATCTTACAAATGAAATGCAATGCAACCGCTTAATTTAATAGTAGAATTTGAGCATTAGGGTCGAGTGTAGTTCCATATTATATAAGGTTTATTTAATACAACACAGTGATACAGTATTATGAATTGGATGGAGATTCTACAATAAATTATTGCTTATTATTATATGAAGGTGTTCACACAACTTCATAACTTGGTTTATAGAGCTCTACTCTTTTCTGTTTCCCCTAATACAATTCCTCCCATGTCATCAGAACATAGAAACTTGGCTAGATCTAAAACACAAGACCTTGCTAAGATACACAACCTGGAAAAACTCATCCATTACTGTGCACGCACCAGAATACTGCGGAACAATAGGATTGGACGGAATAAAAGTGTTAAAAAAATTAATACAGTTGGGTGAATAGAAAGCTTAATCATTGAATCTATGGCTCATCGAATCAATATCAAACACATGTATCAGGAATGATGCAACACCAATTCTGAACAAATGTAAAATTATTTAGAGGAGGAAAAGATGGAGTCGAGAAATTTTAATCAAGCTAGGAACTCCGGTGCATACCATATGATTATGACCGATTAGTTGTGCTCATAACACCAACTATGTTAAATCCAACAAACTGATCGACTAAGGAATATGTAAAACTCTAAACAAAACAGTAGGATCTTATGTAAATTTATACAGGACTCATTGGAGTTACAGTTTATTGATCTGCTCCTGAAACTACTAACAACTGGGTCACATATACTCAACTCATTTCGACCCTGACACATACACGTAACATAATAAGCCATCATGTTACGTTTGATTTGTAACCTGATACAGAAACGTGAATGACAATTACTCAATTGAAGCCTCCAAAGCCTCAGGATGGTCGGGGGTGGGTGCCTTGCGCTGCTGGTTGGCCACCCCTCCGCACACCTCTCGAAATGCTCCCATATGACCAGGCGTCTTACATAGCCTCTCCTGAGGAAGTCCTACTCACTGCCTTCACGTGGCGGAGGTGTTTTTCACCAAAGTGAGAGGGCGAAAGCGGATGCCCGGCGCTCTTCACCGGGTTGACTGTCCATTGGATGACAGTCTAGGGGAGATAGCTAAACCCCGATTCCAAACCTCCAACGACTGGCGTATGAAGCTCACTAGAGCTCACCGGCAGACGTATGGACAAAGGGCTTGTTGGATGTCCTGGATGTCTGGCCCCATTCAAAAAGGCGTATGAACCGAACTCCGGTCACCGGCTGACAATGGATAGTGGACTCCCTACTTCACTCCTACTGCCTTGTAGGTCACACTTGGTTGTGTAAAGGCTAGAGCTGCACTCTCAAACAAAAGGCCGAGCGATTCTGGGGACATCACTCGTACCAAATTCCCATGAAACTTCATGAACTCTGGAACAAGAATCGGATAACCCTGTCGCAAAACCTTGCATCAGATCGCAGCGCCTCGGCAGCGATGATTCGAGATGTTCATGAAGCCGGCTCATCCTCCCGTAGGAGATAGCCGAAGTAAAGCAAAGCAATTGAAGCAGTAGTTCGGCTTACATATGACAGTAACTCAATGAATTATACTGCCCAGAACAATCGTTTTACAAAGTTCTAGCAAATTAGCAACTTTGGTCACATGGCAATATCACTAAGAGTAGTGATCAATATAGTGCAAGTTGCATATACTAAGAATTAAGTCATTCTGAAGGCTAGAATGAGTGCAATGTGTTAAGGTATTTTCACCACATAATCAGGAACTGACTTGTGACACCTTATTCAGATGAAGCGGAGTTGAAAAAGATCAGCTGACGAAAATATACGCTCCGACTTATGGGATTCGAATACAATACTAACTTAACCAATTTAAATCCGATACAAGTCGTATAACATGAGGTTTTATAAGACAGAAAATCAACTGAGCAACTTGTCAAACGATGCTGTACGTTGTTGTGACAAGAGAAAGGGAAACAGGACCATAAGTCTCGGCTCTCAACCTCATAGAATAAGTTACTTGCTCTTGTTAGGAGTCTACGGGTGCTGCACGCTTAGTCGATAAGAGTACATCAGCAGTAAATGATGTGTAGTCATTTTATGTTAAAATATAACCTAGCGCAAAGACTCCATTTTTCGATGTTAGCTATATTTTTGTTGTCTACAAGATTTGATAAACTATAATACAGTGGTGACATATGTTCATCTATCTACATTTCCGTAACATTCATCATCAAAACGACGCAAAATACAGTGTTTTTTTGAGCTGGGTGGTTTAGTTGAGAAGCTTTTATTGTCCTGCTAGACAACGTCCTAAAGGCAAACTTCCGACTGAAGCATCATTCACTTGAGCTACAAATATCCATTACATCTGCAGTTTATTTCAGACCACAACTTATAGCTGTAGGGTTTATTTGATAGAATATAAGGATGCTAAGGTTCACGTTAGGCTTTTGAACAACAGAACAGAATCCATTCATCTATAAATTTATTCACAGAAAAGTGAAGTAATTCGAATAAATTAGAAAAAGATATCAGTGTAAGTGATGCTACTTAAAGACATGAAACTTACAAATAATTTTCTCTTTTAAAGTCATCATCTGGGTCTATCTTCTGCAAGTCATCTAGATCTAGATCTTTTGGAGCTGGAGCTGCGTCACAAACGACATCTAGTCGTTCAATCCATGGGAGATTATTCTTGACAGAACTAAGAGTATTTGATAATGCTGGCTGTATGAAAATATGGAAAGTGTTTTGAAATAAATGATTAGACAGCCTAAGAAACTTGTATGTGAAATATACAAATTGCAAGATACATTAGACATGAACAAAAAACTAATGATGAGTAAAAGTTGACCAAACGTGCCTAGTGAAGATATTAATGTTATTGCTATTGCTATTTATGTGGCAGATAAGTAAAAACTGATTTATATTCACTACTAACTTTGATTATAAGCACTTTGATGTATGCAAATGAAAACTATTCTACTTAATCATCTACTTAGTCATGATGCATCAATAAGCACTAAACTAACACCAATATCACAAACTAGCCGACTTTTCTTTCTAAGACAACCATTGACGATGATTATTAATAGCAATCGGGTCGGATGTTAACATAGAACAAGCAGAAACACCGTCGCACTCCTCTACAATGTCACAGACTTGTAGTCCACTACCCAAAAACAAGTACACAGTACACCCCTCTTCGTTTCGTTTGAGAACATCTCAATGTTCCAGATATCAATACCAACTTGGAAGGGAGTATTTACTCCCTTGCCTAAATTTTTATATTAGAACTTTACCTAACTAAGGTTTAGCATATAAATCCACTGAGTCACACAAACTAACTGGTTTCAACCTAGAACTTTGTACATAATGTATGTGAAAACCTAAGACAATGACCAATTTTGACACATAAAACCAAGAGGACTGTCTACACTTTCATTTGGGAACTACGTCAACTTTGGTAACATACTTAGAGGGTGATATTTTGTTACTAGCAAGCTTAACAACCATAACACAGTGCTTAGGTGTACGAAAAAAAGTTTGAAAATAATACCTTGTTGTAAACATGTTTGGGTGCTGGTGCAATTTCCTGATATAATCCTGGACAGGCCAGGATCTCCTGGATATCCTACAATTTGTAAACACCAAAAAGAAAAAGATGCTTACACACGATGACTCTGAGTCTGACATTTAACAAATATAATCCGTCTGTTTATTTGCTATAAAATCTCCGAAGCTCTCTGTTCTTCAAACAAAAATTGGTAGATGCAACTGATCTAAGGGGCTAAATGACAACTGGTGCTATAGAGTGGTGACCAAAAGAGAGGGATTTTAACGTCCTTGTCGCATGCCAGAGTGTAGCGTATAATCCGAAGTTCGAACTTTAATGTTCAATATAATTCCCACAACCATGAATGAAATAAGTTTCTGGAAGTGAGCCTTCCACTTGATGGGCTCTGATACTAATAGTCTCCTTACTAAATGGCTGTAGTCTTGAAAGGCGAAAAGGTCATAGAAGGTCGATAATACATGAAGTTTATGATTAACTTTAACTCTGTCCTGGGATCGTACCAATAGGTACTGGACTTACTGTTTGATTCACTAGACGAAATAATTCCAAAAAGCTTGCTCAAAGACAAACGGGGATCACTTAACTGCAGAGTAATTAAGGTCAAATTTATCGAATAACTCTCTGAGGAGGATGAACGTACCACTGGTCTTCAAAACAGTCAATTGTATCCATGGTCAGTGTGAATGGAAGAAAAGATATAGGAATAAGCGTTCACAACAGTGAATGAAAGGTGAAAAGAATTGTAACCAGATTTATTTCAGAACAATTGGCTGAGGATGGAGGACTTGAAGTCCATATTAGTCCTTTTCTAATAAAAAGAGAAAAACAGATCAGTTTCGGATTCATTATTTTAAATTTTAAACATTGTAATGGGGTCTCTCCTTTGCTAGAGATATGATGAGAAGAATAGTTTCAGAATGTCTAGTCTTTTAACGCATGGTAAATTTTTCATGCCAAAAACCATACGTGGTATCCTCTTATGAACCTTTTCTAAAATATATGAGTCCCCTTTAAGACAATGACTGACTGCCCGGAAGCGGTTTCTCAGTCTTGACCACATCGGAGATGTGGATGAAAAAGTGTTCACATTTCTGATCATTCCATTAAACGCTCCGTGTACTGTCCAACAAAAATCTGAAAATGATAGCTTCCGTCGTGCAACAGTGTTCTGTAGTTTTGAAGTGGCTACTGATTATGACAACTAGATCCATATGAATCTAGACTGATGAGGTGTTACACCCTCTGCTTTGCATAAGCTGACACTTGCATGTCCAGTGCTCTTGGTTGTGCATTCTTTGGGCTGCTCCAACAATTTGCTGAGATCTTACAACGTGGATATGTAATTACGGCCTTTCAGTTTTCTCCAAGTCTAAGTCATCTGCATTGAACACCATAAGGGGTTTGGTGGGCACGTGTGACTAACCGACATACAAGACAAATAAGAGGGGCCCGAGTACAGTATCTCATGGCACTCCACTGCGTGCCATTGTTTTGGTCCTCTCTCTGTCTCCTAACTATGAGGAATTCCCTAATCCAATTAAGTAAGCTGTCTTTCACTCCCATACTGCCCAGCTTTGTGAGTAGTTTTTTGTGAAGTACTTTATTGTCCCCTATCTTGATTCAGCTTTCACTTGCTGTAAGATGGTTTGACAGACATGAGAGGTTACCTTAGAAACCATACTGCGCCCTGGAAAACGAGTTGTTGTTTTCTAGATATACCATGAGAGCATTATTGGTGATTCTTTTCAGTATCTTCATTAAGGTTCCGGTGAGACGAATGGGTTTGTCGTTTGAAGGACGTTGTCTTGATACTACTTTATGGGTGAGGGTTACTGTGGCATCTTTCCAGTCACGCGGTTACTCTCCATCCAATAGACAAAAAGTCCCCTATATTTTCAAACTCCTAAGAAGGCAAATAATATACAAAATTATACCAACAACCACATCAAAAGCAGAAATAAGGCCATACGGTCCACGGACAATATCGATAGAACATGCTCGCATGCTACGCCAAGTCAAGCTAAAGCCCACACTAATAGCTGGTGTAGTAACACCATCATGCAAGATGGTACAATCGGCACCCTCAGAGGTCAGCTGCCAACCCGTCTGGGTCTTCAAAGTATGACACAAGCAAACTTTGACAGCATATTTGGCACAAGTCTGTTGGGAATTAAACCACAGAGCAGCAACGCATATAATGAAACCCATATAAGGACACTTAGAATGACTCTGCAAACAACAGGCAGATTAACAAGTCATGGGCATAACAAGGTACCGATGATTTTTTTATCCAACACATCATCATCAGCGTGGGGATGTTAACTCTTATGAACCCGTACCACTAATGTCGGCTCGCTATCGGGAAGAAAACAAACACAGGTTAGTGCACACGTGATTATTAATTACAACCAATGCTTGTACAGGCATAAGAACTCCTACCCAAATCTCCAACCTACCCAAGCCTAGAACTACCTCGTCCTATATTGAATCCAATAATAAAACTCATTATTTACTAAAAAATGGATGGTAACTCGATAGACATAGGCGAACATAGTGCTCACACTAATTGCAACACAGGGTTGTTATGCCATGCGGAACCAGTGGATGCCGATCCACACTTGAGCCTGATTAACGAGCTTAAATAATTCAAACACTACTCAAACTCAATTTTACCTAATCCTTATTAATGTTACATCTATCCTAAACAAACTGCCGATGCTCAGGACACTTATTGGTATATAGACCCCCCAATAATCATTATTACTGCAGCATATACCTCCACTTTCAAACAAGTAATATATAGGAACTATAGTAAGGCATACTGGGGCTTAGTAGAATCAGTGCTAAGATCCTTCGAACGGGGCGAATGCTTCACTACTGATGACCTCTCGAGAGCTCTGAGCATCTTCTACCATAACTCAAACACATGCTGAGATGCTATCATTCCACTCCAAACACTTAAGCTTTCCCCTCAAAGAAAGTCATTCATAAAACCGAAGGATCGCACGGAACTGAAGAGACCCTCAACAAGTTGCTTCAAACACCACGACTTTGGCACACTAGGTTTAATACTTAACACTCTTAGCTCCATCTCACAAGCTCGAAATTTCCGTATGAGAAACGAAGAACGCATCGCAGTAGCCAGCCTTGCTAGGCTGTATGCTCCCACAGAAATCCTAAAGAAGCGAATGATCAGCAAAAATCACAGCTTTTTCTCCTCGTAGACAAAGGTAGGCTACACACTGACCTTGCAGATACGTGTGAATTATTCACCAAAACATTTGCAGCTAACTACCTTAAGACTACAGTCCCGTTACTCGGTATACACCCTACTACTAATATGGCACAACTTTCATCTTTACCCGCACCAAAACAAATTGGTACCGTTGAATTCACTTATGCTAACGTTAACCAAACTATTAGAACTCTCAAAAGCTCAAAAGGTTTTGGCTCTGACGGTATATCATCCTATTTTTATAAATATGGTGGCCCTGACATTCCTTCACTACTGCTTAAAATCTTCACAATGTCCTTGGAAACCCAAACTTACCTGGATATATGGAAAACATTTTCTACGCCTAAACACAAATCTGGCTCGTAAACAGAAGTCAACAACCACAGACCGATCAATATCACACCTATAGCATCTAGAATTATGGAGAGACTAGTTAAAGATAACCTAATCAAGCATATGCCTAGCTGCAACATTATAAGTCCGAACCAACATGGATTCCTAAAATCCAGATCTTGTTTAACATGCCACTTAGACTTCTTTAACTTTGTGCCCAGCAGTCGTGACAGACGACAACTAGTACTTGTCACCTACTTTGACATCTCAAAGGCATTTGACCGTGTCGACCATTTACTGCTAATCCATAAGCTGAGCTCCTTAGGAATACGTGACCCACTATTAGGATGGCTTAAATCATTCCTTCACAACCGGTCCCAATTGGTTAAACTCGGGTTCGTAACGCCGAAACCCAGCCCAATCACTTCTGGTGTAGTACAAGGTAGTGTCATTGAGCCCCACCCATTTACAAATTATATCAACGACATATGCGCTTGCTTCTCACATGGGAGACCATCCATCTTTGCAGATGACCTAAAAGTGGCTTATGCATTCCAATGTGATGACCTAGGGTACTTCCAGAATGTTGTGCAAAAAGAATTAGATAAAGTGACTGCTTGGTTGTCTTTATGGAATCTACAATTTAACCTGAACAAATGTGGTTGGATCTGCTCCGGCTCACCCTCAGTCGACATGAAATTAACGCTTCAATCTGCTAACCTAACCAGACTTCGAAGTGCCGTTGACTTAGGCCTGAGGTACTCTAGTGACCTAACATTTTCTGGGCCCCACAGAAATTCATGAGGCATCATATAGGTTAGCTTGTTCCACAGCTTCTAATTTTCCATATATTTGAATTCACTCCTCACCTAAATATCGCTGACCTACCTCACAGTAATCTTTTTATTTACGCACTATTATACTCCATCTGATCTTAACTACCTAGGCATTTAATGAAGTTAAAACTTGCTCTTTATTCATATTTGTTGCTTGCTTTAAGTCTGGTTGCTTTGATTAAAAACACAACAACACCAATGTTTGAACAAAGCTATGTTTTCATCGGAAATGTGATAGTTTCCATGCTTAGACCAATATGGTTAGCATTAAACATTGCAAATGTATAATATCATTTCAAGTACTATATAGCTTCTTCTTCTCCTTGTATTTACCTTGTAAATATACTTCCAATAATGTATTATTCATAATTGCATTTTATACCACTTTGCAGCTGCGCAGAATTTTCTCCTCTTCCTGAAATAGCGCTCAATCACGTGGTGGCATAGCACTCACCCAGATATACGCTAATCACTAGTTGACTATAACTGTCAGCAGGAAACAGAACGAAGTTTTGGTTGTCGCTCAACTTTGATGGTGACCTTAGTGAAGGGTTTACAATTTGACATTTATAAGAACCTGCTCTAATTGCTTGTACAATAATTGAACAATTCAAGCTTTTGAATAGGTATTAATTTATGATACTTCAGGATTGTAATTTATAGCATTACTGATCGTGCCTGTAAAAATGGCATGCATTTCTTGTAAACTTACCCATTTATACAAAATATAAATTATCATTATCATTATAAGTGGCATCACAGACTCGAAAGTCAAGGATGCTCTTGGAGTGCATACTCAGAAACTTTCACGACAACGAAGCCAAGCTCATTTTATACAAGATACATGTAAGGCCACTACAATATTGTCCATTTATTATTAGCATCACTTGTATACGTGACA